ATTATAAATTGTTATTATTTTCATATCTTACAGCATCCTCTGTCTCCCTTCATCCATGTTTCTATTGTTCATCCCCCTCCTTACTCTTTTAAGGTTCATCTGCCCAAGAGTGTATTCTAAATACCCACGGTAAGTTCATTCTGTATGTAGATGGAAAAGAGAGAGAGAGAGAACTATGCGTGTAATATTTATTCATTTCACAAAACTCATTATACTTTTGATGGGATGCTACATTTTTATTCCCTTGCATTTGTTACTTCAGTAAGCAAACATAGAACATAAGAAGAAAAAGTGCCAAACCACCAGCGGTGACACACTCTCACTCATTTCAGCTTTGTGTGACGGCCTGGATGCTCACGAGAATAATGAGTGGTTTATGCCATTTTTTAAAATGCTCAAATACTAAAAAATATTGTCAGAACAATTGCTGTAAGTTTTCAAAGACGAACATACTAGGTTCAGAGAAGAGGAGTGCCTGTTCTAATATAGCAAACACAATGACTATTGTCTAATTAAAAGAATACGATCCTACTCCTATGGTGAAAAGATGGTTAAGGGTAAATCACTTGGCGAGTGGTGCTTGGGTAAAAGTGACAATATTGCAAATGAGGATGCCAACCAAGAAGCAGTATGGAAGTGTCTTAAATTACAGTTCAGTGTTTTTTGTCAGGTATTATTTAATATTTTTCATTAATAGTTTAAAACTCTTATCATCTAGTTTTGTGTTCCTCTTTTGTTGTTCTTGTTGAAGTATTAACTGTGTGAAATAATAACTTACCTTTCAGTGTATCTTTTTTATACTTAAATAGGTCATTAGGGCAGTGAACCATTTGTTAAATTATTTGAATCCCGCCACTGCCTGGGGACTTAATGAAGTTAATTACTGTGTATTATGCTTGCTGTTGGGTGCTGTCCAGTTGGTTCCAACTCACCGGAATCTGATGCACGGTAGCACCAGCCACTGACTGGTGCTCTGCCGTCCTCACCATTGTTACGTGTGAGCCCATTGTGGCAGCCCGTGCGTCAATCCGTACCCTGGAAGGCTGCCTCTTTCTCACTGACCCGTGCTTCATCAAGCTTAATGTGTGTAGTTTGTCAGGAACTGGCATCTCCTGGTGACATTTCCAAATACCGGAGAGAAGTCTAGCCAGGAGCATCCTAACTGCCCTTCTTTCAGCACAGGTCTGTTTGTTCTTCTGGCAATTCATGGTACTGCTTCACCAATCCCATAATTCAAATGCATCTGTTCTCCTCCAGTTTTCCATATTGATTATCCAGCATATGAGGTGAGTGGAAATACCAGGGCTTGGGGCAGGCACACTTTGGTCCTCAAAGTGGCATTCTTGCTCTTCAACATTTTAAAGAGGTCCTCTGCAACTGGTTTATCCAATGCATTACATTGCTTAGCTTGATTTCTTTTTAAAAAAAAAAAAAACATTTTATTAGGGGCTTATACAACTGTTATCGCAATCCATACACACATCAATTGTGTAAAACGCATTTGTACATCATTCTCAAAACATTTTCTCTCCACTTAAACCCCAGACATTAGTCCTCATTTTTCCCCTCCCTCCCCGCTCCCTCCTCCCTCCTAAGCCCTTGATAGTTTATAAATTGTTATTTTGTCATATCTTGCTCTGTCTGACGTCTTGGCTGCTGCTGGTTACACATTGGGCTGCAGTTCCTGTGGTCAGCAGTTCAAAACTGCCAGCCACTCCTCGGGAGAAAGATGGGGCTTTCTACATCTGTAAAGAGTTATGGACTTGGAAACTCACAGGGACAGTTCTACCCTGCCGTGTAGGGTTCCTGCGATGACTCACCTTGGTGGCCGTTGAGTTTGGTTTGGATTTGTTGGTGCTCATCTTCTATCTTTGCTCCGTATATCATGATGTCTGTTAGTCCAGTATGAGGATTTGGATTTCTTGACATTGAATTGGAATCTGTACTGAGGGTTGCCGGTTTTTAAATTTTTTTGTCAGCAAGCATCTCAAGTCCCCCTTGCTCTCAGCAAGTTAGGTTGTGTCATCTGCATATCACAGATTGTTAATAAGGCTTCCTCCAATCCCGATGCCATGTCTTCTTCATATAGTCTAGTTCCTGAAGATGATTTGCTCAGCATACAAACTGAGTAAGTGTGGTGAAACCCTGACACATGTCTTTCATGATTTAAACCATGAAATATTCCCTTTGTTCAAATGACTGGTCTATACACAGATTTTGCATGAACAAATTAAGTGTTAGTTTAACCTTCACAGTAAGATCAGAAATTCCTCCCGGCAGGAATCCGATATGTTTTAATCCCTTTTAGTCTCTGTTATTGTTGGGCAGGTAGTGGATATTTAATAAAAGCTTCCTAAATGAAGCTTGGCAGGAATGAGGACACACAGATTTTCGAATGGAATACAATTCTGAGTAGACCAAACGAACCAAGCCCATTGTCATTGAATCAATTCTGACTCATAGAGCAACTCCATAGGCAGAGTCAGCTTGTCCTTGTGGGTTCCCAAAGCTGTAAACCTTCTTAACAGTTTTCATGGAACTTCATCCACATATCATATAATTCAACAGTTCAATCACGAACACAATCAATTTTAGACAAAGCTGTAAATCTTTATGGGGACAGAAAGCCTCATCTTTCTCATTTAGAGTGGCTGGTGGGTTTGAACTGCTGATCTGATCTGCTGTTAACAGTCCAATGCATAACCCCTACGCCACAGGTTCCTTTTTGAGTTTATGGGGATGCTTAACAAATGCCTCCTGCATGGATAAAATGCTTTTCCTGTAGGAAAAGTGATTCTCTTTCCCTAAGTCCATATTTCTGAGTATCCTACTAGATCCTTTGCATTAGTCATTTGGCACACTTGTTAAAAACATGGATTCTCCAGGCCATGGAATCTGAACCTCGGTAGTGTTTATGCTGGGAGGTGGGCTGTAAAGACCAGAAATATGTACGCTCAAGTGATATCAGAGTAACCAGTCTCTGACAATGTCACGGTCTGTAGGCGCAATTGTACGGCGATAACATATAAAGATTACAGCAAAGTCATAGAGAATAGGGAAGATAGGAGAGAGGATAAAACAAAGGAGTCAGGCACATTTTATAGCAGCATGCTCACCTCCTGGACGGCCACAATCTCAGCAGCCAGGTCCACGCAGATAAAGGGAGGAGAGAGGGGGAGGAGATATATTTCTGACTAAGGCTTATATATACTTAAGGGCGAGCAAGTCCCCCTGATTACAGGTTACCACATACGTCACAGGAAGGGGTTGTACCATAGGCAATACAGCAATGAGAGGGGGATGAGCTAGGGGTGTACACACAATAGGAAGAGGAGGGATTAGGGGTACACATGTGACAAGATGATCGGGTCCTAGATTGAAGATGGCAGCCTAACCTCAGTTGTCCTTGAGTGGGCTTGACCTCTACTCTGGGCTCTCCAGGGAAACAATCACTATCCTTATCAGTAGGAGCTGAGCCCCACCTAAGGTGGGATAAACAATAGTGTCTGATTGCCCTGGATGGCTGATGGCTTCAGGGAGAAAACTTCTAAGCAGCTTGCTTCCAAGTGTGCTACAATCATTTGCCATGTGTTGCAAGCGGTATCCTAGGACTTACACCTATTTGGGGGAGACAAGCTGGGGAAAAGCCTTTTTGTATCCCACAAAGTGATGCTCTTTGAAGTTTGAGCATCATTGCCCTAAGTACCAAGTATACCAACCAAATCAAACCCACTCAAACCCATTGTCATTGTGTTGATCTAATTCATAGTAACCTGATAGGACAGAGTAGAACTTCCCCAGAGGGTTTCCAAGCCTATAATCTCTGCACATCTTTCCTGGGAACATCAAATATCACCATTTCCTAAGTGTACGTCCTAGAGCAACTTATTTAAACTCTGAACTCCTTTGTCCTATTAGAGTCAGTATGAGGTGGAATCAACTTGTTGGCAATGGGTAGGTACCTCTGTTTAGAGAGCCCTTGTGGCACGGTGGTTAAAGTACCGGACTTGCTAGCTGCAGGGGAAAGATGTGGCAGTCTGCTTTTGTAAAGATTTACAGCCCTAACGAGGCAGTTCTGCTCTGGTCCTACAGAATCAGAATTGGCACTCTAGCAGTAGGTGTGGTTTGGTTGCTTGGACCTCAGTTTCCTCGTCCATAAAACGAAGAGTATCGTCTGTTGTATTAAATGAGTCAAACTACGTAAGGTTCTTAGAACAGAGCCTGAACATACTGTGTAAGTACCATTATATGTTTCCTCTTATCACAATTATGATGTCCACTTTGTAATAAAAAAAAGGAGCCCTGCTCCTTAGTGGTTGCTTGTTGGGCAGCTAACCATAAGGTCGGCAGATCAAAACCACCAGCTGTGCCGCAGGAGAGAGGCAGGCCTTTCCATTCCCATCAGGTGTTACAGTCTCGGAAACTCACAGGCAATGTTCGCCTTTGTCCTAGAGGGTCTCTAGGAGTTGGTGCCCCCTGGCGGACAGTGTGGTTGGGTTGTTGGGTTTTGTTTGTAGCAGAAGCATGCAGTTATGCCTAAAGCCTTTCATGCTGTAGAAAATCCAACCCACGTCACTTTCCCTGCTTTCATTTTTTGAGAAGCAGACACTGGATGCCAGGAAGTTGCCTTATTGCAGGGCAAAGTTGCCCCAGGAAAGCTAAGCTCATTCACCACATGCTGACAAGACAGGGGATCATGCCTCAATCTTTTGTGCAGCTTCCCAAACCAAGTTCCCATAATTAAAACCCCATTAAAAGGGCAGGGATTCAGATGAGTAGACCGTGTTTCCTCACTTACCAGGAAGTGTTTGGCTGACTACAAAGCGTAACAAAACACAAAGCCCAGCAGAGCTGTGCTAAGTCACCTCCTGTCCCAGGCCTTTGTGGAGGGCATGCCCACGCCAAGGCCTCGTCTTCCTTCCTGTTCCTTTTGCCAGGAGGTTTGCTCTCCTCTGAAACTTTCCCAAGTCCAGAGTTTATAACTCCCCATCCCTCACCCCTTGTAAAGTGGGAAGAGCTTTGGCAGGTCATCAGTCGTGGATAGATTTTGAGAACCGGTGTGTCTCGGGACGTTTAGGACAGGTTTGCTACAATGGGTGCCTTGTTTGGGTATGTATGCAGCTGGAACGTGATTGAGTCTTAAAATGAGTCTTTCCTCTTAACATGTGACTTCTGCAAAGTTACTTAAAATTCGTTTCTATTTCCCTATTTGTAAAAAAGGAACTTGTAATAGCATGTGAGTGCTAGCAGAAGCTTCTAATGCCATTTAATATAACTCCCTAGATTTAAAAAAAAATATTTTATTGGGGGCTCGTACAATTCTTATCACAATCCATACATACATCCATTGTGTAAAGCACACTTGTACAAATGTTGCCATCATCCTTCTCAAGACATTTGCTTTCTACTTGAGTCCTTGATATCAGCTCCTCATTTTTCCCCCTCCTTCCCTGCTCCCCGCTTCCTCATGAAACCTTAATTTATAAATTATTATTATTTTGTCATATCTTACACTGTCCGACGTCTCCCTTCACCCACTTTTCTGTTTTCCATACCCCAGGAAGGAGATTATATGTAGATCCTTGTAATCGGTTCCCCCTTTCTACCCCGCCTTCCCTCCACCCTCCAGGTATTGCCACTCACACCACTGGTCCTGAAGGGATCATCTGTCCAGGATTCCCTGTGTTTCCAGTTGCTATCTGTACCAATGTACATCCTCTGGTCTAGCCAGATTTGTAAGGTAGAATTGGGATCATGATAGTTGGGGGAAGAAGCATTTGAGAACTAGAAGACAATTGTATGTTTCATCGTTGCTGCCCTGCACCCTGACTGGCTCTTCTCCTCCCCGTGACCCTTCTGTGAGGGGGTGTCCAGTTGCCTACAGATAAAGCCCATCTGTGGACAACTGGACACTCCCTAGATTTTTTATGAAGAGTTGCTGGCTGGTTAGATTGATAGTACTTGGACCAGGTGTACATTTCATGGGATT